TCGATCAAAAACAAAATTTTACAATTGGTCCCCATACTCCTGTTTACTTACATCCATATTCATGTGAGATAACGATGTGATCAGTGTTAATTGTCATAATCGATTTATTATATAGAAAATCTAGGAAGGTTATAAATTTCAGAGCAGTTTTCATCGAAGACAACCTGTTGTAACCGCAATGCATTCAGGTAAACTCCGTCGCCAATTTGTTGTAGCTGTAGGAGATTTAAATGAGGACGTTGTCGCCTTGTTCTGTCTGCGCCTGACTAATATGCCTATCTGCTTCTGGTACCTTCCGATTCAGCGAACCACGCAAATATCAAAAGACAAAAGCTGGTCTGTGACTGTGTATTGTAGTACAACAACTACGACAAAGAAACTTATTTAGGAAATGGTATTTATACATTTTTACAACCAATACAGACAGCTAACAGTATTTGAAATAATTGGTCGTAATAGTCAATAACAAAATGCGTGGGAAATGATGATATACCACTTATGCGAGATTAACAGTCGTTAAGATAACTGAACAATAACAAAGTGTGTGGGATCCTATCACCTCTCCCCGTTAAAAGTGTAGGACTTGCTTTTTGGATCTATTTGAAAAGGTTTTGGAGCTCTTCTTTGTCGAGTTGACCTTCGCGTACTGTATAGATTGTGATCTGCGTCCCGGGCTTCCGGCTGCGGAAGGATTTGGCGTCGTACGATAATGCAGCAAGGATCTATCCAAAATTTCTTCTGTTGTTCCCTCCCCCTTCGGTTTTGCATAAGCACGCAGGCGTTGCAAGAGAGACTGACCAGATACATGTCCGGGAACAACATTATTTGGTGAGGACGAAACATTAGAGCATACTGAATTTAATGGTACATTGAAGATATGGAGCTTGTATAACCAGTCAAGACCAAGCAAATTCAAATCATGGTAGTTTGTGACGTAACATACACCATTGAACTGATTCTCACCAAACTGAACCTGGCAATTTATCTCACCCACGAGTTTCAATATATCTCCAGAGGCATTCTTAGCGACATGCTCGGTCAGCAGAATCTGTGGGCACCCAAGTTTGCGCCACGTAGTTCGGGAAATTAAGGTGATATCTGATGCCGTATCCAACTGAAGACGAATAGATTTGCCGTTAATACGTAGTGTAATGTACTTACGTTTGCTGGCGAAATCGACTTTGGAAGTTGTGAAAATGGTCTGTACTCGAGGAGATTGTTTCGGCTTGAAACGACTACTTCTGCTCTTCACCGAAGAATTTTTCTGTGGTGGACAGTAACCCTCCTTATGTCCAAAACGGTGACAATTACGGCATTTATGTTTCTTGAAAGGACAGAACTTGACAAAATGCCACGAACCACAGTGCCAGCACACAGAAGGAGGTTTAGCTGAATTCTGAGACTGACGTGCTGTGTGCTTAACGGTGATCGGAGGCATTTTCACTGTGTTAATTGAACCAAATTCAGACAACTGTCGTTTGCACTCCACCATAGCAGTATCGTGCTTCAAGTTGATTAAGCGTTGGCATTCTGCTGTCACCATTTGTAAAGTCATTTTCGGGTCTTGTTCCACGAGTGACAGAAGTCGAGTTCTTATGTCAGTATCTTCTGGGTTCTTCAACCCACAAATAAAAATCAAACACTTGAACTGATCTGATGTCATTTCGTGTGGTTTGAACCTTTCGCATTCTTTGTTCACTTTGCCAGCGTAAGTAACATAATCATCGGAAGGCATTTTTGTCAACTGAAAACATTGATACCGAATATTAAACATGGATGACTGTTCACCAAAGATTTATGATAAAATGGTGACTGTTTCATCGAATGATAACTCACGTGGGTTCTTAGGCAGAATGAAGTTAACATATCTGTTGTGCTCAACAGTACCAAGTTTTCTTAGTAACAATCGGACTTTGGCAGCATCATCAAACATGTAGCATTCAATACGGAAAACATCTTCATAACGATTGAACCATGCATCAAATACGAGACCAGATATTGGGTCGTAGTTGAACTCACTGATGGAATTTGAGATGCTTTCATATTTGTCTAAATGAGATGTTGATGAAACTTGAATGGACAGCTTCTGAGTGAGAGCTTCGATTAATTTTAGTTGAGCTGCTTCATTCTGAACTTGCTGCTGCTGCAAGATAGATTTGAGATCGTCCAGAGAGATAGACATTGTAATTGGTTTGTAATTAACACAGTCAAAAATGTTCTATAGTTGCGCTGAACAGAATAAAACCCGTCGTTGCTTGCTTGCTATAACTGCAATGAATTAAAGTAAACCCCGTCGCCAATTTGTTGTAGCTGTAGGAGATTTAAATGAGGACGTTGTCGCCTTGTTCTGTCTGCGCCTGACTAATATGCCTATCTGCTTCTGGTACCTTCCGATTCAGCGAACCACGCAAATATCAAAAGACAAAAGCTGGTCTGTGACTGTGTATTGTAGTACAACAACTACGACAAAGAAACTTATTTAGGAAATGGTATTTATACATTTTTACAACCAATACAGACAGCTAACAGTATTTGAAATAATTGGTCGTAATAGTCAATAACAAAATGCGTGGGAAATGATGATATACCACTTATGCGAGATTAACAGTCGTTAAGATAACTGAACAATCAGAAAATGCGTGAGAATTGATGACATATCACTTATGCGAGATTAACAGTCGTTAAGATAATTGAACAATTACAAATTGTGTGGGATCTTATCACAACCAAAAGTTTAAAACAAAAAATACCATGGAAAATTAGAAGCACTGAACATCTGCCTTGGTTTGTCCTTGAATTTGTCAGCACTGCACACCTAAAAAGTGGAGAAATATTTGGCGTCTTTCTGTGAGAATACTGTCATTCAGTCAATAGGTCAAACAAAACCAAAGAGTGTGTAGTTTATAAATTTCACCAATGTGCCAAAAAAATAATTATTTTTATTTGATCGAACTTTTAGATTTTCCCGTCGACTGATTGGACCGAAGTGCTCGGTCTCAGGTTGACGTGTCTGTCGGTTTCTTGTGCAGATGCTTCGAGGATGTCTGGGCATGTAATTAGAAGTTAATTGGTGGATGGTGACTATGGGTGTTGGGGTCAAGCTTCGGTGGGAACATCATCACTCACTGGGGAATGCAGGTACATCCAGATGACGAGTCCCAAATAGGACAAAATGTGCATCCTGAATTTCATTGCTAATCGCCATCCACCAATTAACCTCTATCATTATTATTATTTTCGAAACATGTTAAGAAAATTGGAGGTGTGCCCCTCTTTCTGTTCTTCCAGTGCAACTTCTATGGCAGAAACAAGTAAATTTGTATTTACAGTTGTAGTTAACAATGAGAAGGGTATCTGTCAACTTTTGATTGCACTAGTATGCATGTTGTTCGATAGATGGGAACGACCTTAGGTGCAGGATAGGCTCTGGCTAGTGAAATGTTCAATCTTCTATTGATTATTCCTGTTATGTTATCATCTTTCAATTTAATTGAATAAAGACAGGCTATTTTCCCGCCATAATTTGTTTGGCATTAAAGCCTTCACATTTTTCATATTTGTTAATGAATCTCTGAGGGTAACCGCTGTTTATCAAAATCTTTTCGAGAAGAATCATCAACTCTTCCTCTAGCTTGTTTGCATAACGTATTCTGCTGACCTCTATAGAACAGAGTTTTTACTAGTGCTCGTTTATAGCTGTTTGAACAAAAACTAATAAAATATAAGTAGTGCCCCAGCGATGAGTAATGTATGTCACCTTGGCGAAACACTACTATTAATAGATATCCAGTATTCAGACTCGTATGTATGCTCACTTTATGTTGGTTTCATCAAATCTCTGACGAAATCTCAGCACGGATACAGACGGCTAGTTTCGCGTATGCCACTTTCCGCCATCTCTGGCTTAGTAGACGTGATACCCGACCAAAGGGCGTGTGTACTGCTTAGCATTCCGCTCCGTCCTCCTGTATGGCTGTAAGACCTGACCATTGAGAGTGGAAGAGTCAAAAAGACTAGCTATCTTTGATCATAGGTGCCTGCGTTCTATCTCCCATCTGAAGTGGTACAGTAGATTGAGCGATACTGAGGTTAGGCTTGGGTCGAGTGCTAGGTAAGGAGGGAGGGGAAATCAATAGACGAGGCTGTGAAGATACATCGACTAAGATGGTTAGGACATGTATTACGTATGCCTAGCTATCGCCTTCCTCGACGACGGGCAATCTTAAATGACATATGGTTAGGTTGGAAATTAGCCAGTGGTGGTCAAACCAAAACATGGCTCCATCAATCAATGGAATCCACAACAGTTAGTTTAAGCCAGCCACGTAGGGAGACGTAGATTTCCTAGTTGGGGTCCTCGGGACGGTAAACACCAATGGTCGGAAACAATTGGTGACATGGCTCAAAGTCGTTCTCAGTGGTTGGCGCAGATGCATCCACTCCTTGTGACTTATAATTTCCAATAAAAACTATGCTGTTCTTCGATATTACTATTCTTTTTGTCTCATATCTCTCTTTACCGTCTCTGTTTTGTATTTCTTCTAATTTCTTCTCTTGCTTTGTGTGCTACATGGAGGGAGTGTGGCAACTTGAACTGCTGCACGTCGGTGCAAAGTTCTATGTCGAAAATAGATAGATAGACAGACAGATAGACAGACGAAATGAGAAGGTAGTGTGTACTTTTTCTTAGACTTTTATTATATAAGCCAATTTATTAATAGACAGTTTATTGATCTAAAAGATAAATGACACTTTACAATTTATGTATATATATATATATATATATATCATGTGATGTACATCAGACGATAGAGAAAGTAGACAGTTCAGCAATTTGATTGGATGCTTACTGCATGCATCTAACGAACAATTTCATTGGTTGATTTCTCCATCATGAATGGATTCAATGATCAACATTTAATTTTATTTTTATTCACTTCAAATTCCTAAGTTATTTAAATAAAAAAAGAGAGAGAAACAAGGTATTTCATGATATTTCGAGATATATAACTACTTAATGTATGATTTTACTATTCCACATGTTGGGAAAAATTCAGCAATTATGGTTACTATGGGCAATTTTAAGTTTATTTGATTATCAGTGTCATGCTAAAGATCAAATTAATGCATCAATCCAAAAAAATCAATACTTTCATAATACATTCGATAAAAAATATGAAGATTTTGTCAATTCCCTGAATCATTTAATCGCTAACAATGTATACAATAACTTAAATCTGCCTGCAAAAGAATCCACATGTTCAAAGGATCTTCGACATCTTATCAATGGAATATTGCAAAGAAAGATTTGGGCATTACAATGTTTGGTTTTATAATAGTTTCTGTATTAATAGTCATTTTTATTCAGGGTTAGATGCTTCAGTCCATCCACCACCAGGAATCACGGGAGGTGCAATGCATTGGATGGGAAGTTATGATGTCTGTTTTGAATGTAAAGGATATAATTCATCTGGTGAGGAACAATTTCATGGTTCATATTGTACAATGGTGTTCTATTTGAATATCTCTGTACCAGTGATTCCGGTAATATTTATCTACATATTGCATAATAAGGATTTCTGAAATTCGTTTTATAGGAGTTAAGTGCAACAATTGGATTATGTATGCCTAATTCGTGTACTAGTGAAGAGGTTAGAAATATTGTCAATGCAAGTAAGGGTGGATTTAAATTATTGATTAATTTATATGTACACCAGCATCATACTTATTCTTTGCTGAAATGCTTCAAAATGAAAGCTTCTGTCATCGACCTGTTTCAGAAGTTAATAAAGATGCATGGTATTACATAGCTGTGTAAGTTTATAAGTAATGATCACAGTTTATTTTGATTATGATTAATTATGATTGGTTGGTTGGTTGAGCAAATTATGCCTGTCTTTATGTCATTATCAACTAAGACAGCTTATTCAGTAGGGTTTGAATTCCGTTTGCATGTCATAGAATGCGTTAAATGTCCAGAATTTAACAGATGCTCTGTGTTATCGAACTGTGTACCCCTTCACTTTCTCCTCTTTTCCTATCCATGCTGGATAGTGTTCGCGCGCGCGTTTTATAAGCAGACGCATGGTACGGCCAATGCACTCAGCTCAACACGAGCAAGTGAACTTATATATGCATGTTGAAGTGGCCAAATGCGACAGTTTGTCTTTCACGTGTTGCGTGACTAGTTTCTTGCAGGAGAATGTTACTCGTAGGCAGCTGGCGGTAAAGTATGTTTTACTGAGAGAATTGGAAAGCCGTCTACAGAGAATTTCTGCTTCCGTATCACTTTTAAATTCGAGGTTCAATATCTGTATCTTTTCAAGGGGCGACTTGGACCATTTCAGGTGTTTTCTTGGTTTTTGAGATTCTTGTCTATGAATCTGGATGGGAATCCATTTTCTATCAAGGTCCCTCAGAGATTTTGTTATTCTTCATCGATTGCCTCTTCAGTGGAAATCTTCTGGATCCTCGAGGAAAGAGAGTATATTAGGTTTCTCTTTCTGCTTAAAAGCATACAGCTTTGGAAGTTAATAAACTGTCCGTTCCATGTGGGCTTTCCGTACATGGATCTTCATAGCGTATTAAATGTATTTGGTCATTAAGCAAGCATCTCTACACTCTCTGATTCATAAATTTATGGAATATAAGATACGTCCAAGACTCGAACTGTAAACACTTAGATATTTAAAGTTTATAGGATTAATTAGCTATTTTTTTATTCCTTTACGTTCCCAGTGGAACATGCGGTTTCTAGTTAGAGGGTTGGAGTTTCTGTAGCAGTGGTGATTATTTTTACAGGATGGAGTTGCTAGCCAGACTCATACCAAACCTAACCCCCTTACCGGTCTTATTACTGGCTCAGAGAGGTAAGGGAGTGCGTCTGTGGCTAGGAATCGAACCCCCGACCACCTGCGTGGTCAGCGAGCACTCTACCGCTGTGCCATTGACACGCAGATAATCACTATTTGATGGAAATTCTCAATGAAATCACTTCTTAATTATTTTCTAAATTTTGAACCCTTTCACCAATCTTTACTTTATTGTTATTTTTTATTTTACACAAACTAACCAAATGCGTACGTTTTGATTGTAAATCTGTTTGGATAATAGCAGATGTTATCAAGTGGGTGTTACGCGAAACTGAGGGTTAATCATAATTGATATTTAGGTTTTGTATTCATTATGACGATCAGAAAAGGTCGAAAGCAAAGTTAAAAATATTGAGGAAGCTACTAAATATAACATAAATAAGAGAGAATATAAGGCATCTACAGTAGTTTTACCATATAAGGAGGGGACATCTGAGACCTTACGTGGGCTTCTTAATAGAGTAGGAATTAGGGTGAAGGCATTCAAACCTACAAACTCACTCAGGCAGGAAAAGCTCTGTAGGCTAAATGACTCTGTCGGTTGATCCAATCAGACAAAATAATATAATTTACAACATTCCTTGCAATGACTGTGAATTAAGTTAACTACATAGGTCAAGGATAGTCAGATTGTCGGAATATAAGAATTTAGCTGAGGTTAGAATGATTGACCTCATCCTCGAAGATAAGTAATTTAGAAAAAGGCTGAGCCATCGCACAGCATAGATTAACACACAACTACACAATAGGGTGGGTGGGACAGAGTTGAAATTCTAAAAAGTAATATAGGTAGGTTGAGATAGAGATAGAGAGAGGTTGGTTACTGAATGCTGTCTGGTTCATTGAGTGTACACCCAACACATGCAGTAGGAATAACTCATCATTCATACCGGAAATATATAGAAAGTAGTGCTACCAATCAAGTCAAGCGATGGAAAATAATGATGGAATTATATAAACGAAATTAGAAAGTTGTGTGAATTGTACCTTGATATGATTATGAGCAACAATAAATTGTGCTCAAAATCCAGTCATCAATAAATATTACTGTACAAAACTGTGAGATTTAATCAAAATAAATTTTACCCATAATGGAATTATAATTTTACCACAGTGCACAAGTTCTATTCTCATATAACTTTACTATCTTAAGGAGACGCAGCAACTGAACTATCAGCATAAAAAACTTCGAAAAATAATGGCTAAAATATTCTTTCCCACAAAATTGTGTTTAAAATCCATCTCTCGTCGAATGATTCTAAAGCAGGTGAGAATGATAAGCTATTGAGTCTCGCAACTTCATTGTTCCCTTATAAATTTAACTGTTCATGCGGAAACAGTTACATAGGTAGAACAACTCGACAAGCTCACCGTCGCCTTTCTGGAGCACTGTCCCACTCGGTTAGGCAAAGGAGTTATGAAGTCTATCAGAAATTCACAACTGGCATACGTGGTGGATATGGAGTATAGGCTTGACAAAAATTCAGCTCTTACAGTTCTATGCAAGGTGACAACTCCAGTCCCCCCACCCACCCACCCTAGGTTGGTACGTCTTACGTTGCTTAGCTTAGCTGAAGAGTTGTAATAATAACTATTTTTCAAGCCATTCTCTGTCTTCAGAAGAGGTTTGTTTGATCTCTCTGTACTTCCCCGTGGCCTTCGCCTTCAACCTAAATAGTTATCTATCCCAGTGACATCGGATAACTGTAAATTTTATCTTATCATATTTTATTTTCATGCATTTATTCCCCCTGATGAATTTAAATAAAGAAAGAACAACAGTGTGGTTTGTGCAGAATAATATGGTACCATCATTTATTTCGTTGGCTTCCCATCAGCTGCTGCTTACAGCGTAATTAAATTATGAGGTTTGCGTACAGAAAAGTTTTAACATACTCGCAAATTTTACATGTTGTCAGTTGACAAAAAGTTCCATAGTAAGTGAACAGTGCTCAGAAAATTGCGCTTATATAGTTTTTAAACAGGCAGTTCAAGTTTAAACAAAATAGATGTATGCATACAATGGTAAAAGAGTTACGTAATAAAGACGAGAGATGTGTAAGATAATGAGTAACTAATAAATTTGGTAACGATGTACTGAGTTCAAATCACGTCATAGAAACAAGAGACAAGCAAAATTACAGAATATAAAAGGGGTGAGGTTAAAGACAAAGATTACGTAATCAGATGAGAGAATAAAGACATTCAGTCACCAGGGTAAAGAAAGATTAATAACTGCTTCTTTCTGAACACATAAATCTGGTTTCAAGCGTTTGATAGAGATTGCCTCGGCAAACTTGAGGAGAATGGAGCTCCTTTGTCTATTGATAATTTTAAAGGATTTCTCGATTTCTACCTCATGACCCGTGTCGAGAAGATGTCTAGTAATAGCGCTGCTATAAGAGTTTGTTCCCTTGAGACGTAGGCCCTTTAGCACATGTTCAGAAAATCGGAGGTGTGCCCTTCTTTCTGTTCTCCCAATGTAACTGCTCCCGCAGATACACGTAAATTTGTATACACAGTTGGAGTTAACATGAGAAGGGTATCTATCGACTTTTGACTGCACCAAAGAGCATGTTGTTCGATGGACGGGAACCAACTTAGCTGCAGGATAGGCTCTGGCTAGTGATACTCTCAGTCTTCTGTTGACCATTTCTGCAATGTTTTCACCTTTAAAATCTAGTTGAATGAAGACAGGCTTTTTTTCAACTGTGATTTGTTTGGTATTTGAGCCTTCACATCTTCCATATTTGTTAATGAATCTTTGAGGGTAACCGTTGTTTTTCAGCACCTTTTCGAGAATCATAAATTCTTCCTCTAGTTTCTCTGTCGAGCATATTCTCCTTGCTCTATAGTACAGAGTGTTGACTAGTGCTCGTTTATAGCTGTTTGGACAAAAAAATTTGCAAGTATGTTAAAACTTTTCTGTACGCAAACCTCATAATTTATTTGGGCTGTAAGCAGCAGCTGATGAGAAGCCTACGAAATAAATGATGGTACCATATTATTCTGCACAAACCACACTGTTGTTCTTGCTTTATTTTATTTTATTTGGAATGTTGGCTCTGTAATTAATATCACACTGTGCTGTAGCTTTAAATTTTAATCTTGGTTTCACAATTTATTATTGTTGTCACCGACATAATGTCAAATTTCGACAACTCCTGACCAACCTTGTTCATGAGGCTGTCAGTCGAAATGTTTCAGGGCTAGTCTTTAGTTGTCAGGATGGCGAATTGGTAATCATACATAAATACATCTTCTGTCAAAATTCTAAACTTGTCTCATTGACCAATATATATAGCTTGACTCCACACAGTATGGGATTTTCAATAAGTGATATTATCAGCCCTAATTTAGCAGGTCGACCATTTGATATCCGGTGTGAGTCGGCCGGGGATCGAACCCCAGACCATATGCACGGTCAGCGAGCGTCCTAACCACTTTGCCTCCAACTCACAAATTGTGTGTTTCATTGATAAATGCCACATACTGGATGTAAGTAAAAAGAATACACGGAGATTGGTCTTACCTCATGGAATCTTCAGATTTTCAGCACCAATATCGAGTCACTTCTTCTATATTGATCAGAAACGTGACCCCAGTGAGTCACGAGTAGCATTCCCAACAGCTATGTCGCAGACTTTGAACAACAGCTGCCCGCTTCGCTAGCTCCATAATAAACATCAAATATACAACTGGCCAGAGAGAATTAGCAACAAGAAACGATGGGAATAAACTAACCGAGAACCTTTCACGCCTTTCCGATTCTGGCTGGCTGGTGTTGACATCTTCATTGGCTACGTGTGCCGCCAGTTGGTTGAAACAATTCATCGTAGCCAAATTTATACCGTCTGTCCAGCCAGTTTGTTGGTTTTCACCTGTGAGTCTCTCAGTGAGTGTGACATTAAACATTAATCATCCACGGGCAAAATCCAGGTC